GCGTGAAGATCAAGAGCGAGGCAGGGGAAGGTACAGGCTAAGGGTGCTACCCCGGCGGGCGCATCCGACACGGGCGATAAAAGGGGGACAATCTCTCCTGCCCAAGCGACGCACTATCCTTGGGGCCCTTGAGCAAAACTGCTGGGTGTGTGACGCATGGCCTCACACGCCGCCAGCTGCAGGCTCGCCAGCCCCTCAGCCGCCTCCGCCAAATTCCACATCCGGCACATGCTCAGCGTGGGATCTCTCCCCGCGCGGCTGGGGAGAGGCGCAGTCGGAACTCCGCGCGGCAGAAACATCGCCACCTGGCCCGGAGTCTGGCCAACCGTATTCTGAGGAGCAGGGTAACCCGGGGCTTGGCGGCGTCCACGGAACAGCCCCCTCGCCGCTGCAGCTGGCAGATACTCCCGCAAGGTCGGAGCGCGCATCGGAGCGGCTTCAACCGCAACAGGTGCGGTGGGGGGCTCAGTGGTCACAGACACGTGAACGTGAGCCGCTGCCCCCGACGCTTCCACCTCCCGCACTGCATCCGCCACCATATTCCCCGCGCGGTCAGCAGTGGAGCCCTGGCCACGACTTCCCCCGCCGCGCGCATAACCATTCCGCCGCCCACGACGCCCTCCTGACCCAGCCGACTGAGGACGGGGCGGGGACTGCTCACGGCGGCGAGAATCCCAACGGCCCGCATGAGCCCCGCGGCCCCGACGCGGAGGCGACGGCCGCGGCGTCCGCTGCGGAGGGGACCGCTCCCGCGGGGAGCGCTTCTCCGGCGACCTCTCAGAAGAGCGGTAGCGGCGGTCGCGATGCTGAATTTCCCGCTGATATTCGTCCCATCGCCGCCGAGAGTCATGCGGCTCAGGGGCGCGACGCGCAGGGGACGCGGGCCGATATCCACGAGGCGGCGGGGACCGGCCCCGCCCCTGACGCGCCGGCAAGGCATTCGACGCGACGACTAGGGGAGCGCGGGATTGCTCAGGAGACGCGAGACGTTCCGCCCCGCGAAGCGGAAGAGACAACCCGCGCTCAAGACGGCGCACGGGCGCCGACGCAGCAGGACGAGCCTGCACTAGGGAACACGGAGGCGCATACTCGGGGATTGGCTGTGCAACAAGCTGAGCGCTCTCCGCGGTTGCTTCCAAGGCGCGGTCGCGACCCACGGACCCCACCATCACGACCGAGGCGTGAGCCGAGGACGCCAGAGCCCCGCTCGGCAGGGGAGGAGATTGGCGAAAACCGCACGCCTGTAATGCACGGCCCGATCGCGAGGAGAGGCGCACCTGGCGGACGACACGTAGGCGGGAGAGGACGCCGAGGAAGAGGAGCTGGGAGGAGAGGAGGCCGACGTACAGGCGCGAGCGGCTATGCGAGGACAGCAGAACGACTACTCCGGGAAGGCGCGGAAGGCGGCGAGGAAACCGCTAGCAGGAGGGAGAGTGGTGAATCGGAGAATGACGAGAGCGACGAGGGTGACACAGGTTTTAACCCCGAAACGGAGGGAGGTTTGGAGGCTGAAGCTGATGAAGATGACGAGGAGCTCTTGGTTCGTGGGGCTGAGTTCCCGGACCAACAAATTGGAGCCGCGTCTTCAACACGAACCCCATCCAGGAATCGGAATGTGGGGGGAAATCGGACCGCGGCAGAAATCACATTTGACTCTGCCACAGCCAATAGGAACACCCCAACCCCAACCCCAACCCCACCAATGATCCACCCAGGCGACTTGGCGAAACGACTGGACCTTTTCGCGCAAGTCGCAGGCTGGGACCTGGACCCACTGCGCGACAGTCGCCAGCCCCTCCTCGCCCGTCACCCGCCAAAAGACCTTCGCGAATCATTCGCAGTCTGCCTACTCACCCCATTCCTCCACCTGGCAGCCAATCCCAACTCGACCGCAGGGTGGAGGATACTGACTTTCCTCCCACGAATCCTCCTACGCACCTCGTCAGCTCGCAAACCAGACTGGAACGCGATGATGAATCGCCTCCTCCGTTTCCGTCAGGGCCTCTGGTCTGGCCTGTACGACGAGGCGGTTGAAGCAATTTCCCTCCCAGCCCCGCCACGTTACGTACCTGACACTCAGGGCATCCTTGCTAGAGCGGAGGGACTGGCCAAGCGTGGTAACCTGGCCAAGTCTCTACAGTCCCTCCAAGCCACTCCGGTCTCACCCGCCTCCTCCGAAGTGTACGCGGCATTAGCAGCACGACACCCGCAAGCACTCCAGCCCCTCCCAGAATGGATACGCACCTTCTCCCCCGAGAAAACCCCTTCGATAGAGCCGCGCGACTTCAGGCGCATCGTGGCCAAACTCCCAAACGGGGTGGGAGCAGGGCCCTCAGGCACAACCTTCGAGCACATCCGCGATGCTGCACTCGGAAATCCAGACATCTTCGCCCACCTCCTCGCACTTACCAATACAGCTATAGCCGGGAAACTCAGCAGCGAGGCCACCGAGCTCCTCACAGCCTCACGGCTCTTGGCCTTCACAAAACCGCAGGGGGGGACCCGACCAATAGCCGTGGGCGAATGCCTTCTTCGCATCGTGGCCAAGGCAGCACTGTTCCTGACTGGGGCGGCAGCACGATCACACTTCGCGCCTCTACAGTTCGGGGTCGCAGTGGCTGGAGGGATTGAGGCGGCCATTCACACTGCGCGCACATACCTGGAGGAGAACCCGGGCTCGGTGGCGCTGCAGATTGACCTCGCCAACGCGTTTAACGCGGTGGAAAGGGCGGCTGTATTTGAGGGGCTCAAGAACGAGTCCCTTGAAAGCCTTCTGCCCCTTGTCCGCCTCTCCTACGGAACTCCCTCAGCACTTCACCTCGACCATGACTACGGCGTGGCTCCACTGCTAAGCGCTAGAGGCGTCCGCCAGGGGGACCCTCTTGGCCCCTTGCTCTTTGCGGCAAGCATCCACCCACACCTTACCGCAATGGCACTAGCTCACCCAAGGGTCGTCATTCTCGCCTATGCAGACGACATAACGCTGCTAGGCGAAGCAGAAGCGTGCACGGCGGCATTTACACACCTGACTGCCGCGCTGATCCACATAGGCCTCGAGCACAACCTTGGGAAGTGTGAGGCTTGGTCTGCAACCGCCATAGACCCCGCCTCTCTCCCTCCGAGCTTCCCCATTGCAGCAGACGGACTGCGGATATTAGGAAGCCCAATCGAGACCTCAGATGGCTGTGCCGCCAGAGTAAGGGAAAGGCTTGCAGCAGCAGCAGAACCCTTGCCGCTCCTGGCCCAAATGGACCCCCAATTGTGCCTGCTGCTACTCACCCGCTGCGTGGGCCGCCGAGCATCCTTCCTGGCCAGAACCACTCCGCTAGAGGCACTACCTGAAGATGAATGGGCGGCATGGGGGGAGCAACTGCTACATACCTTCCTGGACGCGGCCCATATCATGCTGCCAAGGAGTGACGCGGAACAGAGGAGAATCTGGAGGCAAGCGGCGCTGCCCGTAACATTGGGGGGGCTTGGCATCACAAGTCCTGCAGTTGAAGGGAGCTATGCGTACCTTGCGTCGGTGGTGGGCACCTCCCACTTACTGCACTCCCTGGCCGAGGCACTCCACCCAGATGTAGCAGCCCTCCTCCCCCTAATGGACCCCGCATCCGGCTCCGCGCACGCCCTGCCTGCACGCCTTGCAGCAGCGGAAGCAGCCCTCCCCCCCGAGGCTCTAGAAGCCCTCCAGGCCGGGAAAGCAGACCCACAGGGCCTCAAGCTGCAGCAGTCTCTAGCGCTGGCGGTTCAGACACGCCGCTTCCTGAGGGTCATGAACGAGGCAAGGCGGATGCGCCCCAACCCCCTCTCTGGCCATGCCCAGAGAATGCAGTCGGTGCTCGGCCCTGGTGCGGGAGATTGGCTGCTGGCACGACCCATCATACCCTCGCTTAGGATGGGACCCTCCCAGCTCTCCTCCGCTGCTGCGTTCCGCCTGGGCCTCCCCCTACCTGTCCCCAGGCGCTGCGACTGCCGCTACCGCACCAAATTCCCTTATGACCGCCTCCCAAACCATCTCATGCGCTGCGAGAAAGGGGGGGGAAGGATTGCGACTCACCATGCGCTCAGGGACGAGATTGCTTTGATTGCGGCAGAGGCGGGATTCACGGTGCACAAAGAAACCTATGTATACTCTCTCGTTGAAAACTTGAAGGCGGACGTCGCAATCCGCCATCCCCGGACGGGAGAGGTTTGGATGTGCGCCGTGACAGTGATGGACCCCGTTTCTCACCAAGATGAGAACTGCAATAGAGCACCGGGGTGGGCGGCTAGGGCAGCTGCGGACAAGAAGGAGCAGAAATACGCGCGCCGGAATGCGTGGGTGGGCTTTCATGCCCTAGCGGTAGAGACATATGGGTACCCCTCGCCCGGGGTGTTGGCATTCTTGCGGCAGTGCGCGGAGCTGGCGGCCAAGTTGCGATTCAACGCAGCCCCCAACTCCTACGGGCCGCCAAGCTGCTGACGGAATACCGCCAGCGCAGGAGCGTGTGCCTCCAAAAAGCACAAGCCAACGCCCTCCGCTGCAAGACCAACGAGGCGATAGCAGCGGACGAGCTCGGCATGCGGGCCCCCTTTGCCCCCCTTAGCGAAGGCCAGCTCCACCAGCTAATAGAGCACCCGTTCGACCTTTAGGGTCGGACGGAGGGGGCGGGAGGGAGTAAGGGAATGAGGTAGTTAGGTAGACCGAGTGTTATGTCTGGGTTTGCATGTGTTTGCATCTTCCCATGTATCTCCCATCAATCAATACCAGGACCATTCGAGAGAGAGAGAGAGAGAGAGAGAGAGAGAGAGAGAGAGAGAGAGAGAGAGAGAGAGAGAGAGAGAGAGAGAGAGAGCATGTGGGAGAGAAGGGCGGGGATGGAAGAGGGAAGATGTTCAGATGAAAGGTAGTTCGGATGGGAGTGGAGTGCGTGCAGTTTGTGCATGCAGTGTGTGGATGAGCGATTGCGGAAGGGAGGAGAGATGCTGTCCCCCTGCCCTGCCCTACACTTTGCTCCATGTGCTCTGTCCTGTCACGCCGCTCTATCCTCCCTCCCTCCCTCCCTCCCTCCCTCCCTCCCTCCTCCCTCCCTCCCTCCCTCCCTCCCTCCCTCCCTCCCTCCCTCCCTCCCTCCCTCCCTCCCTCCTCCCTCCCTCCTCCCTCCCTCCCTCCCTCCCTCCCTCCCTCCCTCCCTCCCTCCCTCCCTCCCTCCCTCCCTCCCTCCCTCCCTCTTCCCTCCCTCCCTCCCTCCCTCCCTCCCTCCCTCCCTCCCTCCCTCCCTCCCTCCCTCCCTCCCTCCCTCCCTCCCTCCCTCCCTCCCTCCCTCCCTCCCTCCCTCCCTCCCTCCCTCCCTCCCTCCCTCCCTCCCTCCCTCCCTCCCTCCCTCCCTCCCTCCCTCCCTCCCTCCCTCCCTCCCTCCCTCCCTCCCTCCCTCCTCCCTCCCTCCCTCCCTCCCTCCCTCCCTCCTCCCTCCCTCCCTCCCTCCCTCCCTCCCTCCCTCCCTCCCTCCCTCCCTCCCTCCTCCCTCCCTCCCTCCCTCCCTCCCTCCCTCCCTCCCTCCCTCCCTCCCTCCCTCCCTCCCTCTCTCCCTCTTTCTCTCTGTGGAATGACGCGCATAGGAATGCAGCAAGCGATGCGCTCGGAAGACCTTGGGAGAGGGGCAGTCCAGTAGTTTGCGCGCTGGCGCACATGCCGCCGGCAAGGACGGCGAGGAGAAGCGCAACTAGTCCACCCGACTGTGGCGGTTCGCGCGCTCGTCGCGCCATGGATGTATAGCAGACTGGTTTGGCAGCTGCAGAGGGTTCGTTAGATAGAATCTAACAGACTTTTAATTCGGGATTTCACTCGCGACGGACAGTATCATACTACTATGATAGTAGAGGCGTATCGAATGGCGGTTGACGATAGCTTATCTTGGGAAAGGGGCCTCCTTTACTAGATGACTGGAACGAGTCGGATTTTGGATACAGGTTCACGACGGAGGTAAGAGTGCTTTGGAAACAGATGGTAAGACTGCTTTGGTAAGAGGGTCTGTGAGAAAGAGGCATTGGACTTCATGTAGATCATTTGTTTTGCAGTTGATGGGAAACACCCGTTTCCCATTGGTTGACGAGCCCTAAAAAACGAAAAGGGGTGCAGCGAGGGATGCGAAGGGAACTAAATCGCTTGCTGTGTTCCAAACCTTCTAGGTATGGAAACAGGTTCGGAGCCGAAGCTACAGTGCCAGTGACATGTCAAGGATTGTCGAGGGTCTCATACACCTGAAATTTGTTTTGCACTTGGTGCTCTGGCAAAATAGGGGGAGTGTCGCACGCCAACTTCCCTAGCCAACCAGTCCAACTCGCCTACAAACACAAGGTAACGCAAGTCTCAAATGTTTTGCAATTGATGGCAAAATCTCTTACTTGAGACCCTGGTTTTAAAGCCCAGCACCCGATTTACAAACCCTTTCTAGAATCACCACTTTCTCAAATAACGCTGGGAGGTAACCCAGAAAGCAAACCCATGAGGAAGAAAACGAAGTCAAGAAGAGTCTGACGATTTCCACCTCGCTCAGGTGCGACCCTCTTTTGCTTGACCCACCCACCCACGCATGTGCGACCGAAGTTCTATTCACAAAATGTAACCAGGCAATTCCGAGATCAGGATTCACGAGCAGCGAACCCACTATTGAGTCGCTAATGTACGAAGTGCCTTGTGAGTGGACACCGCTCCTCAATTCCTCGGTCTGGCAGGCAGTGGTAACACCAGCAGCAATAGAGACTGGTTGACCCTGTTGACAGGGTGAGACCAGATTCTACTATATCGAGAGAATATAGTGTGTGAATAACAAAGTGTTGTTTGAAGACTCAACCATTCAGAAAAACAAAAAGCAAACAAGCAAACCAAAACAATCAGACAAACAAACAAACAAACAAAACAAACAAGCAAGCAAACAAACAAACACAAACAAACAAACAAACAAATATTTAGAGCACATTTAGGAATATTAATACAATTGCAATATTTTATTGCATTAAATTTGGGGGTGATAAAACATCTAGGCAATCTATAAATCATAGTTTTCTGTCGGTGGAATATAAGCATTTGTCACTTCTGAGAATAGAATGTTTGAGGCAGGCTTCCTCCTTTTACGACGTCCCTTCTTATCGAACATCACGAGGTGAGCTCCGCAAATTCGAATATTCCCTCCCCCACTCGCCTTGTCGCGTTCGTATGGCTTTGGTGTGGCATGATCGCATCTATTCATTCCTCCTCATATGCGACGCACCTTTCCCTTCCCTCACGTTTCCTTCCAACACGCTTGCTTTGTGTGGTTTCGCTCCTCATATCTGTCGCACGCGTCGCCCTCCGCACGTTCGTCGTGCACTCCTTGTCTCAAACCATCGCACCGGAAATAGTGCCCAGTCGTGTCCGTCGCCGCCGCTCCCCCCGAGCTCGTATCCATCATGATTGGCGACGACAATAACATTTGCGCCAACGGCGGCGGCGGCGGCGCCAGCGCCAGCGGCGGTTTGTTACAGCTGGTCGAGTCGCCTATTCCGGAGCAGAAGATCTTTAATAGCCTGCCGTTCCCGCTCGTCCTAACGCCGCGCGTACTCCCGAATCCCGCGAGCACATCCGCTCCCTCCACACCTTCCGCGCCCTTCGCACCTTCTGCATCCCTTTCCGCCAATGCCTCCGGCGCAAGCGCTCCCGCTTCCCCCTCCTCTTCTCCCCAGCCCGTTCCCCTCGCCACGTCAGCATCCTCCCCGTCCGACGCGGCAGCTCCTCACGTCAGCGACGCGGTTGCGTGGATCCGCGCGAACCGCGAATGGCTGCTGGACACGTGGCAGATTCACGGCGCGGTGCTGCTGCGCGGCTTGCCTCTCGAGTCGCCAGGTGACTTTAACGAGGTCGTAGAGGCCTTCGGATTGGACGAGCTGCCTTACGTGGGCGGCGCGGCTCCAAGAACGAAGGTGATTGGTCGACTCGTCCCCCTCCGCTCGGCCCCCTCCACCTGCCCTTCCCTCCACCCCTCTCCCTCCCTCCCCCCCCTCACCTCCCCCACCCCCCAATCTCTTCCCCTTCCCCGCACCTAATCTCACTTTGGCTCTTACGAATGCACTCCACCACACCGCACCTCATGTCATACCTCCTCACTGCACTCAACCGTCCTTCCCTCACTTATCCTTCGCTTTTGCTCTCCATCCCACTTCACCGCATCTCTCCTTCCTGCTCAGTGCACTCCACTCCTCTCCATACCTCTTACACCCCTCTTCACCTGTCTCCACCGCTCTCGACCCCCAGGTGGCTCCACGTGTGTTCACAGCAAACGAATCGCCTCCGGATCAAAAGATCCCTTTTCACCACGAGATGGCGCAGGTGGGAGGCGCGTGGGGGAGGGGGGTTTGTGGGGAAGGGGGGAGGGGGCGGGGAGGGGGCGGGGAGGGGGCGGGGAGGGGGAGGGAGAACGGTGGAGAGGAGGGTGAGGGCGGGGGTTGGGAGAGTAAGCAGTTTTGCAGCAGTCGCCTCCGGATGAAAAAATCCCTTTTCACCACGAGAAGGCGCAGGTGGGAGGGGCGTGGGGGGGGGGGGGGGAGAGGGAGGGAGTACGGGGGAGAGGGGAGGGGAGGGGAGAGGGGAGGGGAGGGGAGGGAGAGGGGAGGGGAGGGAGAGGGGAGGGGAGGGGAGAGGGGAGGGGAGGGGGGAATGGGAGAAACCCCAGGTGCCCCCAGCAATCGGAGGAGGGGTGCTGGCGGCACCTGGCAGAAGTCCCGTCACCCTCCCAGCACAGGTGGGTGAGGGGACTTCTGCCAGGTGCCCCCAGCAATCTTTCCTTAGCCAGGAGCTAAGGAGCCAAAGAGCCAAGGATCGCCGCTCTTCCTCTGCCAAATAGTCTTTCCCCCCCATTCCCACTCTTCCCTTGCCTCCTACCAGGTACCTGAATACCCAACCCGCCTCCTCTTCTTCTGCCAGGTGCCCCCAGCAACCGGAGGCGAGACCCCCATCCTGCCCTCCTGCGAGCTCACCAGGCGCCTGGCTGTGAAGCACCCCTCGTTTATAGCACAGCTGCGGGCCAAGGGGCTGCTGTATGTGCGCGTGCTGCCAGAGGAGGACGATCCGAGCAGTGCCATTGGGAGGGGGTGGAAGTCGACTTTCCTCACTGACAGCAGGGAGGAAGCTGAAGAGAAGTGAGTGCTAGTAGCTAGCTGGCAAAGGTGGCTCACCCACACCCCTCGTTTGTGGCACGGCTGAGGGCCAAGGGGCTGCTGTATGTGCGCGTGCTGCCGGAGGTGGATGACCAGAGCAGTGCCATTGCGAGGGGATGGAAGTCGACAATTCTGACCCAAGACAAGGCTGAAGCAGAGGAGAGGTGGGTCATGGGAGGTGTGGTGGGGAGGGGGGTGAGCTGAGCACAGATGGCACGGCTGAGAGCCAAGGGGCTGCCACTGGTATGTGCGCGTGCTGCCAGACGTGACGTGAGGAAGCGGAGGAGAGGTGAGTTGTAAGGGCGTGGAGAAGCGGAATGACATGACGTGAGGAAGCGGAGGAGAGGTGAGTTGTAAAGGCGTGGAGAAGTGGAATGAGCGCCACGGGGCTGCTGTGACTTTTGTGTGCGTGCTGGTAGTAGAGGAGGTGACTTTTGAGTTGACTCAAAAGTCACCTGTGTGTGTGCGTGTGCTGCCAGAGGAACCGATGGAATTGGGTGGAAGTCAGAAACTCAATCTCTTCTGGCTGGCAAAGAGAGTGAAGCTGGAGTGGCAGGCGGGCGGCAGCGTTCGGACCGCTTGCACCTGCCACCCACCTCCAACCCCCCTCCCACCCTCACTCTCACCTGGCTTCACTCTCCCCCCCCTCCCCTCTCCCCCTTCTCCGATCCCCCCTCCCCCTCTCCCCCTCTCCCCCTCTCCCCCCTCACCTCTCCCCCTCTCCGCCCTCCCCTCTCCCCCTTCTCCCCCCTCTTTCCCCCCTCCCCTCTTTGCCCCCCTCTCCCCCCTCGGTGCTGTTCCCTGCCGGCTTTTACACAGCGTGTCGAGATGGCCGAGTTGGTCTAAGGCGCTGGATTAAGGTTCCAGTCCGAAAGGGCGTGGGTTCAAATCCCACTCTCGACACTTTTTGCATATTTGTTTAATACCGTATGTGTGCCGTAATTACATCCTGTTTGTTTAGAAGGTTGTTTGAACGTTTTATTTTCCCTTTCTTTCTCTTCCTTTTTTTGAAGTCATGTTGCTCGCCCCCGAACCTAACACTCCCCTCGCCCCCGAACCTAACACTCCCCTCGCCCCCAAACCTAACACTCCCCTCGCCCCCGAACCTAACACTCCCCTCGCCCCCGAACCTAACACTCCCCTCGCCCCCGAACCTAACACTCCCCTCGCCCCCGAACCTAACACTCCCCTCGCCCCCGAACCTAACACTCCCCTCGCCCCCGAACCTAACACTCCCCTCGCCCCCGAACCTAACACTCCCCTCGCCCCCGAACCTAACACTCCCCTCGCCCCCGAACCTAACACTCCCCTCGCCCCCGGACCTAACACTCCCCTCGCCCCCGGACCTAACACTCCCCTCGCCCCCGAACCTAACACTCCCCTCTCCCCCTAACCTAGCCCCGTTGCCTCTCCCGTGCAAAGCTAGAAATGAAGCTGGAGTGGCAGGCAGACGACAGCGATCGCCCGCCAATGCTCCTATCGGCTGCTACTTCCGGCTCTTCAACTCAACTCTCCCATTCGCACTCTCCCATTCGCACTCTCCCGAGTCGACTCAAAAGTGGACAACAGCGATCGCCCACCAATGCTCCTTCAGCTGCTAATTCCGGCTCTTCAACTCAACTCTCCCATTCGCACTCTCCCTCCGCCCTCCACCCTCCACCCTCCGCCACTTCCCCACTCCCCACCACCCTTCCCGCTGCCTTGCAGGGCGGCAAAGCTAGGGGTGAAGCTGGAGTGGCAGGCGGACGGCAGCGTTCGGACTGTTTCCGGGCCTATCCCCGCACTTCGGGTGGACACCAGACCTCTACCGAGCCTCTCCACTAAACCTCGTGTTGCTCAGGAAGAGGTCCGGGATGAACAGGTTCGGGAGGAAGAGGTTGGGGAGGGGGAGGTTCGGGAAGCAGAGTCTTGGGAGGAAGAGGTTCGGGAGGCATGGTTCAACAGCATGGTAGCTGCCTATACAGGGTGGAAGGACGTGCGTAACGACCCAACCAAAGCGGTTACGTTCGGCGACGGGGAGGTGTTACCGGGGGAGGCAGTATTGGCGGTGGAGGAGGAGATGGAGCGGCTGGCAGTGGCCGTGCCGTGGCGACGTGGCGACGTGCTATTGGTCGAAAATCTCACTGTGCAGCATTCTAGGCGGTCGTTTGAGCCCCCAAGGCGGATCCTGGCATCCCTTGCCAAGTGAATGACATTGCTTTCAGTTTTGCATGTACACTTGTAGATTGGGAGGGGAGGTGTTACCGGGGGAGGCTGTACTGGTGGTGGAGGAGGAGATGGAAAGGTTGGCAGTGGCTGTGCCGTGGCGACGTGGCGACGTGCGATTGGTGGATAACCTTTCTGTGCATCATTCCCAGCGGACGTTTGGGCCTTCCAGACGGATCTTCGCATCGCTTGCCAAGTGACATCTCTCCAGTTTTGCATGTAGGATTTGGCAACAGGGAGGTGCTACTGGGGGAGGGAGGCCCTAGTATTGCCATGCAGCACTCCTGATGGTTGTTCGAGCCCCCTAGGCGGATCCTGGCATCCCTTGCCAAGTGAATTTCCTCAATTTTGCATGTACATTTGTAGATGGGGGGGGGAAGGCGTTACCGGGGGAGGTTGTACTGGCGGGGAGGAGGAGAGGGAGCGGTTGGCAGTGGGTGCGCCGTGGCAACGTGCTATTGGTGGATAACCTTTCTGTGCGTCGTCGTTTGAGCCTCCATTGCGGATTTTGGCATCGCTTGCCAAGTGATCTCCATCTAGTTTTGCTTGTACATATTTTCCTTTGCTTTTCAATCCTTGTGTAGGAGCATGATGACAACAAACAAGATGTTACCGCATTTTGTTTGGTTTTTGCACGTATTTCTCTGTTGGCATGTCTGTACGGATATGATTGAATTGAGTCTGATCGTATACATGCTGTCTGCAGCGCGAATAAATGTAATCATCAGACCCAGAGCTCCTTGTGCAAGCACTCATCATCCCATCTCATCCCCCCATTTCAAAACTTCCCTTCTTGTTATCCATTCCGAAAGCCTATCTGCGACGTACCAAGCCTGCTACTTACAACGGGGTTTATGTGTTTTTCAGTGTGGAAACGCGATTCTGAAAGGCACGCACACAGGAGGCGGGTGGTGAGCAAGAGACGGTGCTGATGACGGCCGATATTCCTGACGGCGACCGTCCTCCTCGTGACGACGACGGTCATGTTAGTGACGGAGAGGGTCATGTTCGTGACGGCGACCGCCTTGCGCGTGACGGCGACAGTCAATTTTGTGAAGGCGACAGTCAATTTCGTGACGGCGACAGTCAATTTCGTGACGGCGACAGTCAATTTCGTGACGGCGACAGTCAATTTCGTGACGGCGACAGTCATGTTCGCAGTACAGGAGGGGAAGGGGAGGAAATGCGGGAAGAGGGAGATGCGTGGGGATTGACGGATGATGGTGGAGGAGAGAGAGAGGAAAGAGAAGAGTGTCGACGAGGAAAGGATGAAAGCGAAGCGGGAGAAAGGGACGAGGGAGGAGGTAGAAGCGAAGAAAGGGAAGAGGAAGGAGATGAAAGCGAAGGAAAAGTGGGGGGAGGAGGACGAGAAGGAGCAAGGGAAGGGGGAGGAGGAAAAGCAGAGAGTTCAAGGGGGCTAGAAGTGCGTCCGGAGGGGGGCCAACGGAAGGAGAGGGGAGCGGTGGACGAGGGGGGGCTGAGGGAAGGTGAGAAAGAGAGAGAGGAAGAAAGGGAAGGAGGCGGGAAAGACGCAAAGGGAATTCACGGGGGAGAGATACGTCCGGAGAGGGAACAATGGAAGGAGGAGGAGGGAGTGGCGGGTGAAGAGGAGGGTAGGGAAGAAGCAGGGGATGCAGAAGAGGAGGAGGAGGGAGGCGAGAAGGAGAAAGAGAAAGAGGAAGTGGAGGAAGACGAGAAAGGCAAAGAAAAAGACGAGGATAAGGAAAAGGAGGAAGAAAAGGCAGAGGAGGAAGACGAGGAGGAGGAAGAGTACGTGTATTTGGATTTGAGCCAGGCAGTTAGGAGGCTGCCTCGGAATTGCCGACTCATTATCGAGGTAAGCATGGGGGAGCCATGCACTTGGTTAAAAGCGGCTAGGAGCGGGGTGCTTTTTATCCCCTTTTTTATTCCTTTTTTTTTTCATTCTCCTTAGTGCAACTGATTTCTAAAAATTCTGTAGTGCGAGCTGAATAGTGAGGGGTTTTATAAGGGCTTGAAGGGGAGGGGTGGAGGCGGGCAGAACATAGGGAGGGCTAATCATAGAGCGAGGGGAATAGTTCAGAAAAGGAATATCTGTGAAGGGGACTAGTCATGAGGGTAGTTGCAATGGTTGTCGCATGTGATGGGGAATGAGTTCTTCGTCCTTTCTTGCTTTTTTTTTTCTCGCTTTTGTCCTGAAATGTGTGGTTCAGTTCAGATGGTCGTTGTGTCCATGTATGCACGTGTGCGGTGCGCGCACACTCGCACATTCGTGAAGCTATATTCTGGTTGGATGAGCTGGATTTTGTGTTTGTGTGAATCGACGTGTGTTGAGTTCAAATGCCTGCGTTTTGTGGCGCGTGTCCTATCCAGAATCTGGAGTCAGAGTCGCCAACACTGCACCTGCCAGATGGCAGCACACTGGTAAGCCACGTTAGCATAAGCCACGTCATCATTAGTGACGTCACTGGTAAGCCACGTCGTCATTAGTGACGTCACTGGTAAGCCACCCACGTCATCATCAACCACATCATCTTTAAACCCTAAAACTCTCAACACTAAACCCGAAACCAGTACATGGAAAGCACAGTACTACCATGGCTTGGTATATCTCTTGTGTTTTTTGCCCCTCTTTCTCATGTGATGCACGGCAGTGCCTCACATGACCCTGGTCATTATAGTGCCTTGTCTCAGTGTCCTGCCCTCCCACATTACCATTCCCCCCGCCTCCCATACCACGTTACCCCTCTCCCTCCTGCATCACATTACACATTCTGTCAATGGGAGATATTTTTCTGAACCGATATGATAGTTTTCTGATACGATATGATAGCTAAAGCAAAAGTTTTCTGATATGTTTTAGAACTGATTCAGCCTGTGCGTCCACCCTTCTCTCTCATTTGAATCAACCACCTGAATGCCCGTGTCCATCCGGGTGACTTTTGAGTCGGCTCTAAAGTCATATTTCCCTCTCTCTCACATTCGAATCAACCACCTCAATGCCCTTGTCCCTCCAGGTTGGAGGCTATGAGTCTGTTTTTTTAGAATTCTCAAAGAAGCAGATTCAGCCTCACATTCAAATGGTCCGCTTCAATGCCCTTGTCCCTCCAGGTTGGAGACTATGAGGAGACTCTGGGTTCCTGCCTCTTCTTCCAAGAGAGTAAGCTGATGGGAAAAGTTTGTCTTTATTTCCGTCTCACCCGTTTGTGCCAAAGAGAGATTGAGGGGTAAGGGGTAAGGGGCATGAGGGGGAGAGGAGGGAAGCACTTTTTGGGAGCACAAGACGCTGTGACCCCCTGTGATACCAGCCTGGTTGTTTTGTGCTCCAACCAGCTCTCCTCAGAGAAACATCGAGACAATTGTTTTGTGCAGTATTTTTCCGTTTCTAACCATCCGCTTTGCTCTCTGTTGCAGCTCTTGTGCCTGCTGCTGCCTCCGCTCCTCCCAGCAACGCATCAGGCCCATCCACGTTCCCTGCCGGTGCTGCTGCTGCAGCTGGTGGTGGTGTTCCACCAGCATTAGGGGAACAAGCAATGGCAGGGAAACAGGGTCCAGCAGTGGGAGGCGAGCAGAAAAGAAAACGATCTGTTAAATACATCGGGAAAACAGAACTCAGATTGACGTTCAGGAAACTTTCCTAATGCTGTCTTGGTTCGATTGCTAACAAATAAGGTTATGCTCACTTAGCTGCTACACATACTAGTCCAAAACTGTATTAGTGTGGTGCTAATCCGCTGACATTAAAGCGGGGAAGTCTAGGAGTGGACAACACGTGTACTATTTTCAGCTGTCCAGGACAGCCTCCATGAAACCGCATTTGCTGGGATGGACTGATCAAAGTGCGGTTCAGTAAGCTTCTTCACGGTTAGCACCCATGTTTACACTTCACCGATTTCGAGCGCAATGCACCAGACAATACCGAGGTAATCGCGGGATTCAGTCAATGCAGGCAGTTCTCTGCAGGATTTTCGTCGTTCTTGGGAATCTCTCATCTCCAAAACTGTCGGTCAGTTTGCCAGGCAGCCATTCGGTGCTGTCAACAGCACGGCTGCAGCAGAACAGAGCCAAAACACCCTGCTCGATTCCGTCGTTCTGTCCGCCTCTCGTTCCGTCGTCGAGCAGCCAAAACGGCCTGCTCGAATCTGTCCGCCTCTCGGTCATTCAGAGCCTTACCGTGCACTGAACTGCACGGGTGAGAGTAACATTCGTTTTTTTTTTTCAGCATAGTCGAGGCGCTTTGTTGCGTCCTGCTCCTCATCACATTACACGCGCTTCTAAGATCCCCGAGAGGGATTCGTATTTCAGCTTGGCCAAGGCTACTAGCCGATCCGAATGTCAACGCTGAACTTTCTGACCGTTGCTCAGATCCCATCAGCCACTCTCGCGGTTCGCGGATCCTTATCAGGCTCGCTCCACAAATCACTATCAGATTTTCATCCTCAGTCTCGACCGTACGCGCTAAGATCGGCCTCGTCAAGCGACACAATCACACAAACAGCAACGCGATTTCTCCCGTCAGTGGGTAACTTCCGGATTCGCTCGCGATCACCGGCGAACGTTAGTAATTGGCGATCGGCAGTTTTCATGGCTGCTTCGGATGCGTCGGACAGTAGCGACGTCTTCAAGCGAAGCATCAACCTCATGATCGTATCTGACCTCGACAACACCATGGTGATTATTCCACTTACCAGATTCCATGTCTGATCGTCTGTTCCTGGTCTTCAGGCCTCGAACTCATAAGTTTCTTTGTTTCTCACATCGAATTCCTCTCGCTCGACCTAGTCTTCATTTGAATCTAATTTTCCACACGCGGCCCGTTCTGTCACGGGGTCTTTAATCCCATCTGATTCTTTCTGTTCCTTTAACCTGATCAGGTGGACCACAAGGATCCCAACCACGAGTCGCTGCGCGAGTTCGCGTCTCTGTGGCAGTCCACGTTCGCGCGCGACTCGCTGCTCGTGTATTCCACTGGCCGCTCGCCCACCCTCTACAACCAACTCAAGAGCCAAGTGCCGCTGCTCACGCCTGGTACGTTGCTTTAGGGAATACAAGTGAGTCGCTTGTTCGCGGGGTATACAGGGGCTTATGCCGCTGCTCACGCCTGGTACGTTGCTTTAGGGAATACAAGTGAGTCGCTTGTTCGCGGGGTATACAGGGGCGTATGCCGCTGCTCACGCCTGGTACGTTGCTTTAGGGAATACAAGTGAGTCGCTTGTTCGCGGGGTATACAGGGGCGTATGCGTCGCTGTGGCGGTCCATACTCGCACGGGACCACAAGGGATCCCAATCACGAGTCGCTGCGCTAGGGGTACAGCCTACAAGCGAGTGCAGGGGCGTATGCATCGCTGTGGCAGTCCACGTTCGCGCGCGATTTGCTGCTCGTCTACTCCACTGGCCGCTCGCCCACCCTCCACAACCAACTCAAGAGCCAAGTGCCGCTGCTCACGCCTGGTGAGTTGATTGTCTCTAGGATAGTAGGTTATACGTGCAGCGCCGCAGAAGTCTCGTCTACTGCGCTGGCCGTTCCCCCACCCTTTACAACCGACTCAAGAGCCAAGTGTCGCTGCTAACGCCTGGTGAGTTGCTTGCTTGAAATTTACACCACTTTCATTCAACCCACTTCCAACCCTCTTCCAATCTCCCATCTTTCCTGCCACGATCCCCCCATCATCATCACAATCCCCCCATCATCATCACGATCCCCCCATCATCATCACGATCCCCCCATCATCATCACGATCCCCCCATCATCATCACGATCCCCCCATCATCATCACGATCCCCCCATCATCACAATCCCCCCATCATCATCACGATCCCCCCATCATCATCACGATCCCCCCATCATCATCACGGTCCACTTCCATCTTTTCCCGTCCCTCCTCGCCAGACATCGTCATCAAGTCAGTGGATACGGAGATCCCCTATGGCGCGTCCACATCTCTTCATGTTTATTCCCCCAATCTCTTGATTTGTCCTCTTCTCCTCATTCCCCACATCCCATCCCCTCGCTGCCAGGCATCGTGATCATGTCAGTGGGCACGGAGATCACATACGGCGCGTCCATGCAGCCAGAGAGGGGGCGGGAGGAGTATTTCGGCCCTCACTCCCCTTTCTTACCCACTCTCCCCACCATTGCTCTCCCCTTCGCCGCCAGACATCGTGATCATGTCAGTGGGCACGGAGATCACCTACGGTGCGTCCATGGAGCCGGACAGGGGGTGGGAGGACTGCCTCGGCCCTCCCTCCCGTTTCTTTTCAACCCACTCTTTCCACCATTCTCCTATTCCTACGCCAGACATTGTGATCATGTCAGTGGGCACGGAGATCACCTATGGAGCATCCATGCAGCCAGACAAAGGAGCACCTTGGCCTTCTCTCCCTTTTCATTCAACCCGCTCGTTACCCCGCTGCCCCGTCCCCTCGCCAGACATTGTGATCATGTCAGTGGGCACGGAGATCACCTATGGCGCGTCCATGCAGCCGGACCAAGGGTGGGAGGAGTACCTGAACGATGGGTGGGACAGGGCTGCTGTGGTGGACGTCGCTAAGGGCTTTCCTCTGTTACGGTTCCAGGTGGGTGATGATAATTGACTGGGTGGGAGGGTTCACATCAGCCGGACCAAGGGTGGGAGGAGTACCTGAACGACGGGTGGGACGGGGCTGCTGTGGTGGACGTCGCTAAGGGCTTTCCTCTGTTACGGTTCCAGGTGAGTCTCTTTGTTAGTCGTCTCAAGAGGCTTGATGACTGGGGCGGATCACTGCAGCCGGACCAAGGGGTGGGAGGAGCATCTGTGCGATGGGTGGGACAGGAACGCTGTGGAGGACGTGGCGAAGGGCTTCCCATTGCTAAGGTTTCAGGTTAGTGAGGGTTGGTGATTGAGAGGGTTAACTGCAGCCGGGCAGGGAGTGAGTGGGAGGAGCATCTGTGCGATGGGTGGGACAGGAACGCTGTGGAGGGCGTGGCTAAGGGCTTCCCCCAGTTGCGATTCCAGGGGTCTCGATCTCTCCTCCGTAGGCGTCACAGGAGCAGGTGGGAGGAGCAACAGAACGATGGGTGGGAGAGACAGACCGTGGTGGACGTGGCGAAGGGCCTCCCCCAGTTGCGATTTCAGGTGTGTCTCGCTCTCTCCGTAGGTGTCGCAGGAGCAGGTGGGAGGAGCAACAGAACGATGGGTGGGTGGGAGAGACAGGCCGTGGTGGACGTGGCGAAGGGCTTCCCCCAGCTGCGATTCCAGGTGGGTTGTTGGGGTTTGGGGAGGATTTTAGGTAGGTTTCTTTCTGGACGTGTCAGGACGGTTGGTGATGACTGGGGAGGTTCATTGCAGCGGGACACGGGGTGGGAGGAGTATCTGGACGATGGGTGGGACAGACAGGCCGTGGTGGAGCAAGCCAATGAAACCTCACTTGGCTTTTGTCAGGTGATTTTTCAGGTGAGTGTTGTTTATTCAAACTGGCTCTTTAGACCTCCTAATTGCAGCCAGCTTTGAGGTGATCCACTCACGTTTCTCAAAGCTCAAAGCTGACCACTCTCCTGACCACTCTCCTGACCACTCTCCTGACCACTCTCCTGACCGCTCTCCTGACCACTCTCCTGACCACTCTCCTGACCACTCTCCTGATCGCTCTCCTGATCGCTCTCCTGATCGCTCTCCTGATCGCTCTC